GGGGCCTGAGCGCAGGAGCTTCTGTCCCTGCGGAGCTGGGGTGTGTCACCCTCCCGGTGTGGATGTGTTCGCCAGCCTGGAAGCTCCCCAAACCCCGGTACTAGTGTTGGGATTTTATGGAGGCTTCTCACGTAGGCATGATCACTTATTAACTCCATTTCCAGCCCCTCTCCCCTCTGGAGGATCAGGGGTGGGGCTGAAAATTCCAAGGTTCTAATCCTGGCTTGGACTTTCTGGCTACCAGCCCCCATCCAGGAGCCATCCAGAGTCACCTCAGAGGAACAAAAGATGCTCCTGGCGTTCTTATCACTTAGGGATTTACAAGGGTTCGGAGCTCTGTGCCTTTTTGGCTTCATTGGATCTTCGTTGCTGTGCGCGGACTTTCTCTAGTTGCGGTGAGCGGGGGCTGCTCTCTGTTGCGGTGCGTGGGCTTCTCATTGCGGTGGCTTCTCTTGTTGCGGAGCATGGGCTTTAGTAGTTGTGGCTCGCGGGCTCTAGAGTGCAGGCTCAGTAGTCTGGCACACGGGCTTAGTTGCTCTGCGGCATGTGGGATCTTCCTGGACCAGGGCTCGAACCCGTGTCCCCTGCGTTGGCAGGGGGGTTTTTTTTTTTTTTTTTTTGCGGTACGCGGGCCTCTCACTGTTGTGGCCTCTCCCGTTGCGGAGCACAGGCTCCGGATGTGCAGGCTCAGCGGCCGTGGCTCACGGGCCCAGCCGCTCCGCGGCATGTGGCATCTTCCTGGACCGGGGTATGAACTCACGTCCCCTGCATCGGCAGGCAGACTCTCAACCACTGCGCCACCAGGGAAGCCCTGGTAGGCGGATTCTTAACCACTGTGCCACCAGGGAAGTCCTAGCAATAGGCTTTTAAGGTTCCTCTATGTCTTTTCATATCTTGGTAATTCACTTGCTGTTTCAGCTATATAGTATTTTCATTTTCATCTGTATAATATTCTACCGTGTAGATGGACCAGCTCTGTAGCCCCCTAATGGTGGACACTTGGGTGGATTTCCAAGCTTTTGCTGGTACCAGCAACACTCCCACTACTTCCCTGAACCCCAGGAATGGGTATTTAGGCCAAAGGGTAAATGTATTTGTCATTCTGTGCCCTCCCTGGGGGTCTGTTGCCTCTATACTGTTTGACTATTTGGAAAAATATATTTATGTATTGATTGTATATTAAAACAAAAGCAAGTGTAAACATTGCTCCTTCTGTTGTGGGAAGTAGCAGTGGAGCACAGAGCCCAGCCAGGTGAGACGGACCCGGCCAGGTGAGACGACGGACCCGCTGAAGGAGCTGCCTCCCTCGCCAGCCGCGCCATCTTGGGCAGTGCTGGTCTGTTTCCCCCTCTGCCTGATGGATTGAAAATAACTGCCTTACAGCATCTCTCAGGAGAGCTTCTGAACATAAAGCGCTTTGGACAGTGCCCGGAATGCAGCTGGGACCCCACACAGGGAATATTTCCCATGTCTTTACATCCAAACTAGGGAATGTTTTGGACCCATTAAGTAAATGAGATCGACCTCCATCTGCGGATGTGTAAGGATGTCCTGATTGTGCTGCGGAGCAAAAGTGAAAGCAAGGAAGCGGATACAGCTCGCCAATTTGTGTGTCCTGAACAAATGATTAATAACAGTAACAATAATAATCCCCGCTACAGTGAGAGGAAAGCAACAAAGCCCATGGAAAAAACACAGAATTAGAAAAATGAGTGTTTCTTTCGCAAATATAAATCAACATTTAATCAATAAACATTGCTCACTAGCTAGACTTTGAAGGCTAAGAAAATGCCTCAAGACAAATACTTTATTTCCACTCAATATCCTCGAGTTCCAAAGAGAAAAAAGACCAGCTTTTTCCTGTTCCTTTATTCCACACACAGACAGTCCCTTTTAATGATTTAGTTGTTTCAACTACCTTTGAAACAGTTAATTACGTGTCAAAAAAAACCCCAGTGCCTAATAGGAAAATGAATGGCGATTGTGAAGTTGGGTTAGTTGTGGTAAAAGATTCAGCAGTCAGGGTCCGGAGCTTTTTCCTTTTGAAGGTGCGCTACGTGAAAAACCTTCAAAGCTCCATTTTTCTTGGTAGTGGGAGCTGACTGTTGCATGAGGTTGTCTTCCTGTGGTTGGGAAAAGAAATGGTATTTTTGGTTTTTCTGTCTCTTGAACCTGGCCAAACTCTCTGTGCACCGACCGCCCTCCCAGAAGAGCTAACATTTCTTAAATAGACTTCTAAGCGCCAGGCATGGCACTTAGCGTGGACTCGTTTGTCAGCTTAATTGTCAATTGTCCCCCACTTTACAGATGAGGAAACCGAGGCCCAGAGAGATGAAAACCATTGGCCCAGGGTAACTCAGGTGGGAAGTGGGGCCTGAACCTAACTGGTCAGGCTCCCAACCTCTGGCCCTTAGTCAGAAAAGATGTGTTAAGGTGCACCCACCAAGCAAGGGTTACCGCCAGGGGACATTTTGGGGGAGGTTGAGAACATTCATTCTTCTATACATTAGAGTTTGGAATTCTTGGAGTCAGCAAGTGAAGTTAATCTAAAACATGACCCCTCCTTCCCCTGACCCGAATGTCTCTCACCCCAGCCCTGAGGAGGCCGGGCGGTACCTGGAGACATACAAGGCTTACGAGCAGAAGCCGGCGGACCTCCTGATGGAAAAGCTGGAGCAGGACTTCATCTCCCGGGTGAGGCCACCCCACCTCCCTGCCTGGGCCTCCCCCTAGCTCCTCCTTGGGGGTTTGAGCTGTAGTTCTGATCTCGAGTCATACCTCTCCGTCCCCGACCCCACCCTCAGCTTCCAGTCCCTTCTCCTGCCCAAACAGCAGCAAGAGGGGTCTTCCTAAGCACAAACCTGATCCTGCCCTTTCCTTCTCAAAACCCTCCCGTGGCTCCCCAGTGCCCTCACCATGCTTTCCAAGGCCTTGCCTATTTGACCCAGCAGTCCCATCTGCCCCCTGCCCCCGCATTCTGTCGCTTCTCTGTGCCTGTTCCCTCTGCCTTGATTAGCCGCCTAATCCCATCTTTCCCCCATCTCAGCTCCACAAAGTCCTCCCGGATACCCAGGCCAGGTCAAGGGCCCCCTGCTGGGCTCCCTCAGTCCCAGCCCTATCTGGGTCACCATGTCTGGAACTGATTTGTCTCCCGAACTGGACTGGGAGCCCCAGGAGGGCAGGGCTGGGGCTGTCTCGATCCCTGCTGTGTTCCCAGCACCACTGAACACTCAGTGAGTGCTCAGGGAATATTTGCTGAACGAATTGTTGAATCTGGGCTCCAATGATGGAGTAATGGAGGATGTCCACAGCCACCCCTGAGGTGGGTACTATGAGGACCCCCATTTGCCTGCAAACGGAGGCCCAGAGAGGTCAGTTCCCTTGCCCAGGGTGTCACAGGGAGTAAGCAGCGGGGCCTGGTTTTGAACTCGGGTCCAACTTCAGAGCCTATGGTCTGTGCCCAGGGCAGAACCAACTCAAGATAAATGACGTTTATCTTCGAATCACATGACCAACACCCTCTCAGCTAGTTGGGGATCACTCTGAGATGACCTTTTTTTTAAAAAAAAATTATTATTTAGTTTTGGCTGTGTTGGGTCTTTGTTGCTGCGCACGGGCTTTCTCTAGTTGCGGCGAGCGGGGGCTACTCTTCGTTGTGGTGCGCGGGCTTCTCATTGCAGTGGCTTCTCTTATTGCAGAGCATGGGCTCTAGGTGAGCAGGCTTCAGTAGTTGTGGCTCACAGGCTCTAGAGCACAGGCCCAGTAGTTGTAGTGCACGGGCTTAGTTGCTCCGTGGCATGTGGGATCTTCCCGGACCAGGGCTCGAACACATGTCCCCTGCCTTGGCAGGCGGATTCTTAACCTCTGTGCCACCAGGGAAGTCCCTGAGATGACCTTTTAATCATCAGAACATATAATCAAAAAACATACCCCCAAAGCATTTACTGAGCTCCTCCCGCATGCAGGGCAGTCTGGGGACACAGCAGTGACCCAGTGCCGCCCTCACAGACTCAGTCTTGTTCTCCTTTCTTCCAATCCACCTCTGCCCCCTCCTTCCCTTCCAGGTGACTGAATGTCTGACCACCGTGAAGTCAGTCAACAAAACGGACAGTCAGACTCTTCTGACTACTTTTGGCGTAAGGAACAATACCCTTGTGCCGACTGGCATTTCTACCCTTTTTTTTTTCCCCCTTTGCTTTTTGAGGAAGCCCCCTGCGTACTCCCTTCTACCTCCCTGTCCTCTCCCCCATCCTTCCTGCCTCCCCTGCCCTCCTGCAGGATATCAGTTCCTTCCAGGAATATTTTACACCCCTGATCAACTGGGGCAGGGGAGTTTTGTGTTCACCTCCCCTGATCATTCGCTCCTGCCTTCCTCAGTCTCTGGAACAGCTCATAGCTGCATCGCGGGAAGATCTGGCCTTGTGCCCAGGCCTGGGGCCCCAGAAGGTAAGAGCCCTGGGAATGGGCTTCAGGGGTTGGGGGCAGGAGGGAGCCCCAAATAAATGGGACCTCAGACCCCAAAGTTCTGAGGTTTCAGAAGGCCCACAGTGCCTCTCCTACAGATGGGGAAAACCGAGGCCCAGAGAGGGTGTGGACCAGCCCAACCTCACACAGCCAGCCTGGGATAGAATCCAGATCAGGCTACTTCTCTCCTAGCCCCCCGAGTCCCCGCCAGGCTAGGAGGAAAAGAATCAAAAGCCCACTCTGATGTATCAAACAAATGGCTCATTTAATGACCGCTTCCTTTTCTTTCTCCCTCCCCTCCAGGCTCGAAGGTTGTTTGATGTCTTACACGAGCCCTTCTTGAAAGTGCCCCGATGACCTCTGCTGCCAAGGAGGCCCTTGGTGTTAACAATAAAGCACTTTCCTGGTCCAGGCTCAGGCTGGTGTGCTGGTGTGCTCAGTGGGAGTGGGGGTCTTCTCTGCTCTCGCCTTCTGATGGCCCAGGTGGCCACTTTCAGCTTGTCTGAGTTGCAGTCATCAGTTTCCCTGGCGGAGACTTACACGGGGTCCTGCTGCGGCTTCTTCCTCTTCCTCTCCTGTCCCGTGGGAGCCACCTCCCCAGACTCGGGATTCAGCAGCGGCTCTGGCACCTCCTCCTGGGATGCTGTCTCTGGTCCCCAGCTTTCCTGGCCCCGCTTCTTCTTCTTCTTGGTAGATGCCGGATCGGCCCCGGCCTCAGACTGGCCCTCATGTGGCAGCTCAGGCTCCATCATCTCACCTTGTGGGTTAATCATCTCAGTCCCTGGCTCGGTCGCTTTGTGCCCTCTTTCTTTCTTCTTTTTCTTGGTGGATGCTAGAGCTGCCTGAGGCTCGGGCTCCACCACCTCTGTCCCTGGCTCCATCATTGCATTCTGTCGTTTTTCTTTCTTCCTTCTCTTTTTGGGGGATGCCAGAACTGCCTCAGCCTGTGGCTCCGCTTCATGTGGCAGCTCAGGCTCTATCATCTCCCCTGGGAGCCCCGGAGGTTTCATCTCTGGCTCTATAACCTCAGTCCCTGGCTCCCTCATCACTTTGTACCCCTTTTCTTTTTTCTTCTTCTTTGAGGACGGCAGTGGGATGGCCTCCTCCTGCGGCTCCATCTTCATCTGCAGCTGAGGCTCAACTATCGTCCCCTCCACCGGCTCTATCCCTCCTGTCCCCTTCTGCTTCTCCCTCTTCTTGCTGGGGGATAGGACTGTCTCTTCCAGAGGCTCACTTTTAACCATGAGTTCCAGCTCCACTGTCTTTTCTTCTGACTCCAGCATCCCCATTTCTGGCTTGACCATTTCTACCTCTTTGGACTTCTTTTTCCTCTTCTTGGTGGTGGCTGGGGACAGTGCTCCCAGAGGCTCCAACATCTCAGCAGCAGGCTCTGTTGCCAGTGGCTCTGTCACCTCCAGGTCTTTCAGCTGCTGCTTTTTTTTTTTCTTCCCCACATCCACCTCTGAGGACCCCAAAGCTGTGTCCACCTCCAGGGCCCCAGGTTCATTCACTGCCTCCTGAGGAACTGAGGCCTCTGGCACATGCCTCTTCTTTTTCCTCTTCCCAGAAGCCAGTGACTTCAACGCCAAGACTGACCCAGGCCCTGTGACTGGTGGGCTGCCTCCAAAGGCACAGAACCGAGGCTTCAGGCCAGGGGGGATCTGTGGTGGGGGACTTGCTGGAATGGGCTGCAGCAGTGTCCCTGTTAGGGATTCCTGGGGACCCTCAAAGATCCTCAGGCTGCCCTGTAGCGCCGGGGCAGAGGTAAGTCCCCCTCCCACCTCTGCTGACGGGGCCAGCAGGGTTGCTCCTCCTCCAGCCTGAGGGCCACTGCTGCTGAGGACCCGGTAGCGGTGCCGCTTGCCTGCCAACTTGCCCTTCAAGATACGGGAGCCAGAGAGAGGCACGAGTCGCCCATTGAGGCTGAAGGGAGAAATGGGGAGGGCAGAAACTTGGTCAGATTCTTTTGGTGTGACGGGGCAGCAGCTGAGAAGCAGCATTTCTGGGTTCCCCAGGAAAGCCCCTCTAAATTCCCCCCAGGTTCAGCCACTGGGGTGAGGAGTATTCCTGCTAAGTGGCATGGGACCACTCACCAGTCTGGGGCGAAGTCTACAGGGGCCTGGATAAGCCACAGTTCTGTATCTGGGCCGGTCAACGCCTCCAAAGAGAAACGGGTGTGCTCTGAGGCTGGGGGTGTCGCAGTAAAGTTGGGGGGACAAGAAAACCGAGCAGCACCTGCAGAAGGGTAAACGAGAGTCTGCTGACACTTAACTGCTGGTCCAATCCTCCAGGGCGCCTATTGGTCCATTGGTCCCAACTTCCTGAGGGTCCCAATCCTCTTACCGCGACTTTCCTCTCCCGTCTGTCAACCAGAGGCGCACCTATATCCGCCGACCCAACCCTTGTTCTCTCCACTGCTGTTCCCGCCCCCCACCAAAATATTTTCTCTCTATTCTAATTCCCCGCCCCCCCCTGCCCGCCATCCCCCGGGAGATACACTCTCCGCTGATCCTGCCTCCGAGGGTGTCCCTTTTTCCGTCCGAACGCTCCAGGGTACCCCTTTTTCTCCTCCCGCCAGACAACTCTCTGCACCCTGTCGGCCCGCCGTGAAGCAACTCACCGCCGGACGGGGTCCCCGCCATCCCGGAACCCATGCCTCAGACCTAGCAGCCAGAGCCACTCAGGCCCCGCCGCCGACCACGTGGAACCAAAGGGGTGGGGCCTCATCTGGGAGCGTCCATGTGGCACCAGGGCGCGGGAGGTGTCGCTCGGAGCCCCCTCGCTCTGTGAGCACAAGTGGGGGAAATTTCCACTTGTGCACAGCGGACTACAGAGAAAGCCATCTTTTACCCAAAGCCTGCTCCCAAAAGCAGCCGACTCGCCTGTTTGGCGGGAGTTAGAGCCTCACCAGGTCCCGGAGGGTATCCCCACAGTCTCAGACATGATTTGCTCCAACGTTGCCTTAAAGGGGCAGCCACATTCACAGGACCTACTCTTAAAGAGACAGGAAGATCGATTGGACTGAAATTCTTAGAGAGGCAGGTAAGAGTCTAGGTCGGCAGGACTGTGCTTTCAGTGTTACAATCCCTTCTAGGGAGGCCCAGATGCCTCAGAAATTCAGAACTTGAGTGAGAGAGGTGGGAAAATGGAGGAATGGGGGTAATTCCTCCCGAGGGCGTTAACTATCAGCCAGGGGCGGGGCTCTGGGCTCCAGGGGAGCGGGAAATATAGGGGGAGGAGCCTGTGGATCCCAGGGCGGAGCCTCTGGACTCCCGAGCTGGACACGCGTGGGGCGGTGCGGACTAAGGGGCGGGGTTGTGGCCCAAAAGACGGGTAGATGCCCTCGAGGATTTAGTCTCGTGCGTGGGGGGACATTTCCAAAGGCTTTGAGGAAGGGAGAGAGAGTAGACGTCCTGACTAGCGCCCCTTCCCTGCCCTGGGGTGCGCGCAAGCAGCGGCACGTGAACGCCGATTTGGGGGACACGCCCACGCCCCTTCGCACAGGGACTGCACAGCGTAGGGCGACGGGCGGAGCCGCGGGACGGTGGCTAGACAGGGTGATCCGACTGCATTCCTGACCGGTGTGTCAGCGCTGATTCCCGCCCCCTCTGCCGAGATTTCGGATCCTACTTTAGAACTGGGGCGCCCACCTTCTCAGCGAGCCAGCGGCTGCTCAGAGAGGAGGAGGGTCAGGGGAAGAGGACGTGTTGCCTCCTCCCGGGATCGCCAGACAGTTCCCGCGCGTGGGCGAGACACCCGGGCCCTGCCCCTGCGGTCTCCGGGACTACAATTCCCAGAGGACGCGAGGTTGGGAGGCGCCCGACGTCGGTCGTGGAAGCTGCTGGGAATCGTAGTCCCAGCCTCCAACTTTGGGAGCCGTTGGTGGGAAATTCTGTAAAGATCCCAACCACCCTTTTTACCAACGGAGAGATTGAGGCTCAGAGACCCGAGGGGATACTGATTTTAGCGAGGCCCTCTTCTCGTCTTGGGGGCGGGATTTGTGAGTCTCCTCCAGACTCTATAACCTTCTACCTCTTTGGTGGCGTCCAAATCTTCTTTCAAGAAGGGGGAAACTAAGCCTGGAGGAGTGGGGCAGGGACTCAGGAGTTCATCTCCTGCAGCCACAGCGAGGTAAGAGTCTGGATTCTATTTACGATTTACGTAGCCAGGCCACCCTTGGCCTTTCGACCTTCCTGTCTGTGAAATGGACTTTGGGTCAATCCAAATGGGAACGTACCCATCTACGTCCTGCCCCTCCGGGACTACAAGTCCCAAGGTGCTCGAGGCGACCCCGGCTCCCCCTCCCCTCCGGGACCCGCCTCCCTCCGGTCCGAGTCACGTCGTCTAACCTGTTCCCGGCGCCTGCCCCGCCCCGTCCTCCGCTCCACGCAGCCGGAGCCGGAGCCGGAGGAGGACCCCCGGTGCCAAGATCTGCCCCGGATCCGTGAGTTACACCCCCCCCCTCCGGGGTTCAGCGACCCCGGTGGAGCCCGACACTCGCGTCCCTGGGAGGGTCGGGAGGAGACTCGGACGCCAGGTCCCAGGGCGGAGCTGGGGGACTCCAGGAACGTTAGAAAGCTAGAACTTGGATGCCAGATTTACTGGGCAAAAGGAAAAGGGGCTCGGATGCCTGAGTTCTTGGAATGGAGGGCTCAGACACCTTGGTCCCAGGGAGACGTTCGGAGACGTTCGGAAACGTCGGGACGTTTCAGTCCCTCGAAATGGGGGCTCTCGGAAGCCTGAGTCCTTGAGTAGAACTGGGGTATTAGATCTCTTGGGGAGAAATGGGAGACTCGAACTGCTGGGGCTCTGGAATGGGTGGCCATCCCTACCACCCTTCAGCTGCCTTCTCGACCGAGCCTTTAGGTCTCCGAGCAGAGTTAGGGGTGGGGTGGGGATAGTGGAACCCGGGTTCCTGAAATGATAGAACAAACTGGAGGCTGTGTCCCGCCATTCCCCCCACTTTCTGGCTCTGGGGCCGGGGCCAAGGTGGCAGGAGGGGAGTAGGACAGATATCCAACCTCCCCTGTGCTGCTGCGCGATCCCCAACATGTCATTAACCGGGGCGTCAGACCTGCCTAAGCAGAGGAGTGACCTCCGCCCGAGGGCTCCCCCTGGCGGGGGCGGGGAATCTCCTATTGTCCCATAAAGGTGGGAGATACCTGGGATTTGCAAAGGGCGTTCTAGAATCCAGGGCAGAATTCCAGAAGGTGGGGTTGGATTCTGGGGGGCTTGCATGGCGGGCACAATACAGCCATTACACAGAGAGGACGGAGGTAAACTGAGGCTTAGGGGTCACACTGGCAGCAGAGTTGGGGGTCAGGATTTGCCCTCCCCCTTCCTCAGCCGCTCTCTGGGCGTCGGGATACCATCCACTCCCACCGGATTTTCTGACTCACTTCTCTCCTAGGGCTCCTGGCCCTGACCCTGAGGTGAAAAATGTCACCTCCACTCCCATCTGTCTGACCTGAGGTAGTATGGGAAATAAGGGAGGATAGAGGCTAATTCTGGAGGTGTGTGTCTGTCCTTGAAGCTGGGGGAGGGCAGGGCTTGGCACCTCCCTCCGCCCGACTCCCCCTTCTCTCCATCCCCATGAGTCACGTGAAGGGATTAAACAAGGGGTGGAGCAGGGGGTTCTGATGAGAGAGGGAAGAACTTCCTAATGTCTGGGCTTGAAAGGGCATTTGGTGGTAGCCTGAGATGAAATAAAAAATAATAACTGTGGCTGACAAGACAGAGCTCACAGCGTGCCAGGCTCAGGGCTGGCAGGTAATGGATGGTTCCCATTGTCTACAGAAGTCTCTGGCAACTGCCCAAAGGTCTCACTTCCACTGAGGTTTACTGAGCCCAGCCCAGGGAATGACTTCTTTTTAGTCCAGTGGGGAAACTGAGGCTGGAGTGCGGGCACAACGCACACCCTAGGCTTTTGACACCTTCTGTCTGGAATCCTCCAGGGATTCCTGTGCCCTGGAATGGGCCAGAACTGGGGATGGCTAGAACTCAGAAAAGCAGGGGAGAATTTAGCATTCTGAGATCCAAGGGCTGAAGTCAAGATTCCAGGGGTTAAAGCTCGGGGCTTTTAGAATCTCAGAAAGATTTGAAAGGGCTGTTTTGGAGGGGAAAAATTACTTTGATTTTGAGCCCTCAGTCTGTTCCAGGCCTGGGAATTAGGAATCTTATACGTGTGAACTTTATTTTGTACCCTTCCCTGTTCTAAACTCTATACATAAATTATGTCATTCAAACCTCACACTTCTTTGAGGTGAAGGTATTAACTCCCCCATTACACACACAAGGAAACTGAGGCACAGAGAAGCTAAATAACTAGCCGAAGGTAGAGATTTAAAGAGGGGGAAGGGCCTAGGTCATTCCACAGACTTCCACAGAGGGGGGAAACCAAGTCCCAGACAGGGTGGAGCCTCTCCCAACATCTGTCTATGCGGACAGAGCTGGGGGATTCCAATATGGGTATTCCCAAACCAGCCTGGCGCTCTGACCCGGTTCCTACTCGGGATGATTCCTCCAGGAACCCCCCACCTCTGATATTTAACCCCAAAGAACCTGGCTGGGGTGCAGAAGATGCCGGGGAGGGAGACCTAAGGGCGGAGGAGAGGGGAGCCCGGCGGAGAGGACGTGGGGGTGGAGGACAGGGGCCTGGAGCAGAGGCGCGGCCCGCGCCACCCTTGACGCCCCGCCGGGCCCCCGCTCCCCTGCCGCGGGAGGTGCGGCACCTGCCCGGGCCCGCTGCGCATTCCCCTGCTCTGAGCTCAGGAGCTGTCCGTCCGCCCCGCTGCGGTCGGGCCGTGACCTGGAGCGTCCCCTGGCGGCCCTGACGCCCGTTTCGCCCGCCTCAGACCCGGGACGCGCCCACGCCTAGCCTTGGCATTTCCTTAGACCCAGAGGATGTCAGCGTCTTAGAATTTGGGGATCATGAAATCCCCAAAAGAACTATTCGCTACCAGAATGCTGGCCCTGGAGGTAGCATAGATTGTTCATTTTTATATTTTAACGAACACAGATGGTTTCCTGTGTATCTCTGAGATTCTAATGCGGGGTCTTACCTGGACCAGGGATCGAACCCTGTGCCCCCTGCAGTGAGAGCTCAGAGTCTTAACCACTGCACCGCCAGGGAAGTCCCCTATAGTCTCTACTTGTTGAGGCCTCAATTCTCAGAGCCTTGATTCCTCTTGAACCTTCTGGACAGCTGGATCCTCACAACTGTCCTCTGCGGTAGACTGCTATTTATCCTCATTTTACAGATCAGGAAACTGAGGCAGTCTGGTCAGGTGGGACAGTGGTGCCACCAGATTTGAACCCTCCTTAATTGTGCTTTTAGCAACTCCACTATACCAGACATTCACCTAGACTTTTAGGACTTCAGAATCCTGGGATAGATAGAACTCAGTGCAGGAAGACGGAGAAATCTAGGCTAGCCAAAGGGGAGAATTCTAGAATGTTCCAAAGATAGAATCTGGGACTGAGAACTTTCACACAATAGACTCTCAAGCCAAGGGTTTTAGCCTCTATCGAAATTTAATTACAACCTCAAGGCCCTTATAATTTCAGAATCTAGGCCTCTGAGAGATTGAGGAGGCCTCTCAGAATAGCTGATTTGCCTCCTCCTTTCACAGTTGGGGAAACTGAGGCCCAAGGAGTGGAGGGGACTCTTAGCCCAAGGTCACACAATCCTAACACACCCAAATAAGCCACCAGCCCCAACAGGTTCTGTTCCGAGCCTTCCCAGACTGAGGCCAGAATCAGCATGCCCCAGCCTGACCTGCTGCCCACGCCTGCACCCCAAGTCAAAGCTAAGTGGTCGGTTGATGTAGTGGGGAGGTGGCAGAGCTGGCGGGCGTGGTGGCTACCATGGAGATGGGGGTGGTGCTGGCCTGACTAGTTCCTGGTGGCCTGGCTCCTTCCCACTGCGTTGGCGGCCACAGCGGCCCAGCCACCCCCGGCCACCTCCCTGTTCTTCCTGTTGACGCTGGGTCTGTGTGAACACACTGAGTCTCCTCTGGGTGGGGACTCTGGGAAGAGAGAGCTGAGTGGTTCCCGTCCTCTGGAGCCCCTCCAGACTGATGGAGATGCCCCAGAATAACAAGTTAGGTACAGGTGTGAAATCTAGTATGCTGACCTCTTGCAGGGTGACCTGGAACAAATGTTTCTGAGCCCCACTTTCTGTTTTTGCTATGGAGGTTTTGATCATGGGATAAAGTATTAGCTGTAAAGCACTTGGCACAATTCTAAGGGGCAGTGTTCTCTCAATAAATGGTTGTTTTATTTCATTATACCCTCGAGTAACTAGCAAAGGTCCTGGCACATAGTCGGCAGCACCATCATTATTTTTGAAAAGATCCCCAGCATCTAGCACAGTGTCTCTTGGTCCCTAGTAGGCATTCAGTAATTGATAGTTATTATTATTGCAGCCTCTGTTCACTGTAATGTCTGTCACATAGTAGGTGGTCAATGGATAATTGTTGAAGGAATGATCACGTCTTATTAGGGCTGAGATAGAGAGATGGAGGAGGAGCCACGTAAAGAGAGTGAATTGTCCTTAGCCTTCCTGGAGGGCTTCGCAGGAGTCGGCATTTCCCGGCAGGGGAAGTGGTGGGTCATAGCGCTTCCAGTGGAAGGAGAGTAAAGGCACCGTCCCGCTCCTCAAGGCCCCGGGCTCCCTGTGGGCGGGCTCTGAGCAGGCTCTCCCCCGCCCCCCCTCCCCAAACGCAGGCGCCCCGCTGCGGCCAGCCGGCACCATGGACAGCGAGGCGTTCCAGAGCTCGCGGAACCTTCTGGACCTGAACTTCCAGTGTGAGCT